TTAAATAACGAACTTTTTCCTTAAGCTAAAGTACCATTCATTCATTTTTTATGTATATTGTTTATGTAAACTGAAAAGTTTCAGACACTAAAATGTAACCCTTAAAAGCTTAAATACATTTGTGAAAAAGGTTAATCTTTATAGCGTACATTGACAATGTAATAAAGAAAAACATTTACCACCGTAAAACAAACCAAGCATTGCTTTTTAAAAAAAACTTAAAAAAAATTTCCCCTGCGGCGCGGTACTGTGCACCCTCCCCCTGGAAAAATCCTGGTTACGGGCCTGTACTTTAATACCTAAAAATTAAAATATCAAACGGGCAAATTAAAGTGCTGGGTAACTATAAATAGCCATATTAATTCGAATATCCAATGTGGACACTTTTAATTTCTTGCTCAATCCACTCTATTTTTGGATATAGTATACAGAAAAATCAAAAACCGGTTTTCAAAATTAGAGAGTCCCCCCGTTTTTGTATATTAATCTTAAATGGCGCGCAAAATTAAAAATTTCTCGGCTTCTAATACGTGACTCTGCAGATTGGTTGGATTTTATACACTTTTCAGGATACAAGTACAAGATTAGGTTAGTCTTGAGATTAAGAAAAAGAGAAGATCACGCATTGATCTGGATATCCACCATTCTAAAGTTTATACTTTCTTAACACGGGTACAGGTACATGCCTTATTTTCCTTTCTTCTCAAATCTAAAATAAATTCAGAAATGGTAAAAAGAAAGGTCAGGAACATTAAAGGTAGTATTTGATGTATCTTCTTGATTCATGAACCGTAAACATGCAGGAGTAGATTCGGCCCTCAGGGGGGACCGAGGGAGGGAAGGCGTACATCACCCGTTTTTAGACCGCACAAATGTCATCCAACCAAACTTTTTTGTCCGGCATTGTTTACATCATTTTTTTAAAGTACTTATACTTATTATATTATTACAATTTGAGCCTCGTCATGTTATCTATAATGGATTAGAATATAGTAACATATTCAAATATTTCGACTTTAAAGTCGACCAAAAGTCTGAAATAATCGACTTTAAATTACAAGTCTCAAAGTTGGCAACACCAACTCGTAAAAACTTGAGTTTCTTATCTAAGTTATGGCCAAGATTGAACTTGAAACAAAACTGATGTAAAATGTCGAGAATATCTAGCTACTGTATAAAATACCATTTCTGAACTAGTCATGAACTTGGAATAAAACTCGCAACAAACTCGATTTTCTTATCCAAGTTTTGGCCAAATTCGAATTTTGAACAAAATTAGTATAAAATGTCGAGAATATCTCAACTTCAGAAAACCAGTTCTGAACTAGTCATAAATTTGGAACAACAACTTGCAACTTTCGGAACCAGTACAAACGTCGGACCCACAAACGTCCGACGGTACAAACTTAAGACTTACAAACGTCGTACAGTACAAACGTCAGACCAGGACAAACGTCGGACTTAAGTCGGACTAAGGAAAAAAATTATTTGAATTTTAAGATTTTTTTTTATTAAAAAGTTATTTTTTTATTGACTGGTCTAATTAAAATCTACCCAAAGAAACTGAGTTCTTGGCACCAACTCAAATATTCTCATCTCTTTATCTTTGCAACCTGGTAATTTGGTATTAACATTTAATACTTTCAAACTTTAACTGTATGATCTTATAGATTTCATAGGTTAAAATATTAAAGGTTATACGACGTCGGGTTGCAAAGATATAGAAATTTTAAAGCATAAGATTTTGTGACAATTGAACTCAACTCCTTTTTGGTCTGTTGTTTTATACAGTGCTAACTTCAAAGGATCAGACTTTATTCAGTTGTCTTTTATTTTCAACACAGTAAGTGAGTGCTTTTTAATTTATTTCTTATAGCAATGGTATTTTTTACAAACTCAACCAAAGTCCGACTTTTTTCCTTATAAATGTACCCGTCCGACGTTTGTACTGGTCCGACGTTTGTAAAGGTTCGGTAGGTTTTCCTAAAGTTTACACTGTAAAACTCGGCTGAAGAGATTTCAACTCGGTTTGAACTCAAAGTCTCTTTTAAAGCGACTTAAACCAATTAACAAGGACAGTGAACGTTATTTCAAGTGACCCGAACTTTGTAGAGAAATCAAGAGCAAATCAGAAAAATATCAATAGTTTTCCTGACAAAGTTAAATAAAATGTTTTGTTGGGGTCAGATAGCACTATCGCACGAAAGGTTTTATCATCAGATTATTTATTGTTTATCTTATCCCAATGTCGAAAATCTATAATCAGATATTTCTAACTACGAATTCTATCGGATAATTTAAGTATGAAATTTCAAAGGTTTACGCCATCAGGTTGCAAAGATATCGGGATTAAAATATTTGAGTCTGAGGCAAAGACTTAATTATTTTATTTATTTACTGAGGCTTTATGGTTAAAATTGTGATTTAAAATGTAGCCATCTTTTGATATCTATCTTTTAATTCAGATTGATATGATAATTTATTAACAAACAGGTTGGAACTTTCCTCTCTTGGAATAATGTAATTGTAACTGTATTTAGAATAATGTTATGCACATTGCACACTTCACGTTGCATAATGTTATGCACATTGCACACTTCACATTGCATAATGTTATGCACATTGCACACTTCACATTGCATAATATTATGCACATTGCACACTTCACATTGCATAATGTTATGCACATTGCACACTTCACGTTGCATAATGTTATGCACATTGCACACTTCACATTGCATAGTGTTATGCACATTGCACACTTCACATTGCATAATGATTATTGCAGCTAAACTGCTTCTTTATCTTAAACCTTAATAAAAACATTTAAAGGGACAGTAAAGGAAAAATGAAAGGGGGTATAGGATGAAAGCTGAAAACCTCAGCTTTCATCCTATACCCCCTTTCATTTAACCTCAGCTTTCATCCTATACGACGGGCGGATTTTTGGTAATGTCAATTTTGTAACGACAATTTGGTAATGGCAATTTGGTAATGACCATTTGGTAATGGCAATTTGGTAAGGTGACAATTTGGTAACAACAATTTGGTAATGACAATTTGGTAAGCTCACAAAAGTGACAATTTGGTAATGACAAATTGGTAACTACAAAAAAGTGACAATTTGGTAATACCATTTTGGTAACTACAAAAAAAAGTGACAATTTGTGGATAAAAGTTAAATTTAATTAAATTTAATGTTTAATAATTTGCTGTTTCTCACATTATTTAGGGTTAGGTTGGGTTAAGACAATTTCTGGGCCGAGCGCTGCGGCTAGGATGGGCTAGGGGGCCGAGCGCTGTGGCCTATTAAATGTTAAATAATGTGCTGTCTCTCTCAATATTTTGGGTTTGGTTAGGTTAGGTTAAGACAATTTATGGGCCGAGAGCTGCGACTAAGGTGGGCTAGGGGACCGAGCGCTTCGGGCTATTAAATGTTAAATAATGTGCTGTTTCTCACATTATTTTGGGTTATGTTAGGTCAAGACAATATCTGGGCCAAGCGCTGCGACTAGGATGGGCTAGGGGCCAAGCACTACATATAAAAAGTAACATGAATAACTTCCTAACATTGACATACATAAAGTCCGTTATTGTTGTAGTATTTAAATCCTTCTGAATCTTGTAACATTTTGCCACCCCTAGAGAAGGGATGATGAATAAGTAATTCATGATCCAAGTCTCCTCTTCTTGCAGTCTATGACACAAGTGCAGGTTGAAACGTGGTTTTTAGAAAATATTGCGAATTTTACAATTATTTTGGCGCATTTCTTTTGTTCAGAAATAAAAGATTCCTAGAATCAATTATCTTCAATTGAATATAAAACTAAAAATTAAACAATTTTACATAATGTCAATTTTATTTTGTTTACCAAATTGTCACTTTTATGACGTTACCAAATTTTTTATTACCAAATTGTCACTTTTTTGTTGTTACCAATTTGTCATTACCAAATTGTCACTTTTGTGAGCTTACCAAACTGTCACTACCAAATTGTCGTTACCAAATTGTCACCTTACTAAATTGTCATTACCAAATTGTCATTACCAAATTGTCATTACCAAATTGTCATTACCAAATTGTCATTACCAAATTGTCATTACCAAATTGTCATTACCAAATTGACATTACCAAAAATCCGCCCATCATCCAATACCCCCTTTCATTTTTCCTTTGCTGTCCCTTTAATATAAAAAACTTATTAATGTATCTCTATATTCTACGTAATTTGTCTATTACCATGCCAGGAATAGGATAGATTTGGACATTATTCCCTGTTAAAATAAAATCTTTAAATCTTCTTTAAATCATAATTTAACTGAAAACTGCTTAAACTTTAATTTCTAATTTAATTATATCTTTACAGCCTTCAAATATTTTAAACTATAAAATGAGCTTGAAATATTAAAGGTTTATGCTGTCAGGTTACTAAGATATATAGATGACAAAATATATAGAGTTAGCGGCAGGTGTTCAGTTCCTTTACGTGATTAGGTATAAAATGGCCGGGAAATTAAAGGCCATGAGAAAACAATGATGTGCCCCAGGACTTGATTAACAAGCTGATCTGAATCGTCTAAATCCTCATAAATCTTTAACTATGAATCGGTGATTCAGCTAGGACATGAACTGGCAGTGAGAAGTTCAGCGACCTGATTCTCGCAATTCATAAAATCCGGTCCCCAAAGTGCTGCTTTACATCTTCTAGCTATTATGAACGCTTACACACATGAGATATTTTATTTACATCTTGGTGACATTTGAAATTATTTCAGGCCAATTTATTTGGCTTTTAGTGGCCCAAGGGTATATTCTTGAATGTAAAAAGTTCTGAGATGAGCAAAAAAAATCTCAGCTTTCACTTTTGACATTTAACTTTATCTTAAATGTTAGAGACAATTTCCAGCGACAAAACCAACACTGCAGTTCAACTTTCGTGAATTTGAGAATTTTCATTATAATTTATTCTTTATTTCGAAAAAAGCATATAAATCCTGCAAAATTTAAATAGGTAAAACAAACAAAATTCACAATTTAACGACAATGCCGCCAACAAAACTAAATGTTTTCAAAAATTGGTAAAATGTCTTAGTATAAAGAGTCTGTTCACGAAGTTCAGAAACTGTCCAATTCAGAAAATCTATCAAATATAGTTATTCCTTTAGATATAATTATTTACAAAGAATCAAATATCTTAATTATTATTATACATTGATTGCATGATATTTTAAAATTGTTTGCCAAAACGTGAACAGCCTGCTTAAATCAATTTAAAACACACTTAGAAATTTTTATAAATATTTTTCGGAGGCCCCCTCGGAGAAAGGGAATTTCTTCGCTGTACGTCCTAAACAGGGATTTAAGTTGACCGACATTGAAAGATAAGATGATCTGCATATTTATTAATTAAAGATAAGTTGACCTGCATATTTATTAATTAAAGATAAGTTGACCTGCATATTTATTAATTAAAGATAAGTTGACTTGCATATTTATTAATTATAGATAAGTTGACCTGCATATTTATTAATTAAAAATAAGTTGACCTGCATATTTATTAATTAAAGATAAGCTAGTTGGCATGCATATTTATTAATTAAAGATAGATTGACCTGCATATTTATTAACTATAGATAAGTTGACCTGCATATTTATTAATTATAGATAAGTTGACCTGCATATTTATTAATTATAGATAAGTTGACCTGCATAAGGTTCTCAAATATTGAATGAATACTGGTGTTAACTTGCTCCATATCCCTGCAAGAGGACTTTCGACGAATACCCTGAACAGTCCAGTATTGTAGAGGATAAAAATCCACAAGTCAGTAGTGTCGCATTCTGGAACCAGAGAAGACCTACTCATCTTCCTCTCTTTGTATACCCTTGTTATGCATAATGAATTTCTATCTAGAAGCAATAATAAAAATATACAGAGTGTCTCTGAAAAAAAGTGTGCTTAGGCTTTTTAGCCAACGAGGGAAGGGGGGTCATGCGGCCATGAGCCCATCAATATTCTGTTCTAACTCAGGAAGTTAGCAAAACCCTGCCCCAACCCCGCGGAATCCTTTTCGAGCCCAGTAGATAATTAAAATATTTATAATTCTTTCATAATTTATAATAAACTTTCTACACATTTTTGTATGAATGGTTATGGTTTGAATGATAAATGAAAAGTTGCAAAAAAAAATTACATGCAAGATTTCACATATCATCTGTTCATCACTGTACTTTTTAAATCCAAGAATACACACTTTTACATTAAAAAAGAGCCCCTCCCCCCTCTCTAAGCCAACTTTACATTGTTGTATTGTATTACAAATTGCTTCTATTGGGTACAAATCCCATAAATAGAGGGGGGGGGGGTAGTCAATAAAACATTTTTCTCTAAATTGACTTTTTAACATTCAAAAGTAGGCCTTATATTCGAAAATGTGCTCTGTCTCTTCTCCAAAGATTGTCAAACAGAATAAAAATATTGCGCATTTTTATGACAGAATTGAGGATTTTCAAATTAAATGTCATTCAAGAAAGTTTTTTTTTAACATCTTAGGAAAAGGTACCGAGTACATTTCGAGTACATTTCGAGTACATTTCGAGTACATTTCGAGTGCATTCTGAAGGTTAAAACGGCATTTTAGAGCAATACGTTTTANTCCCCCCCCCAATGTATGCGAATTGTACCTACACGTAATTTGTATCACGTTTTAGTACAATAAAACGACATTTTGTGGGTGAAAAAGCAATTAATGTCTTTGTAAATTTTTATAGTGGAGATCTTGAATTTATAATCAAAAGACACACCTTGTCCCGGCATTTCCAAAATGGGGTTTATCTTTTTTGTGCCTTTAAAATTACCGGAGTTAAGAAGAAATTCTTTTACATTTTGAGAATTTGGTATTTTATAATCTATATATAGTATATACAGGCTACAGGGTGAGGGAAAAAACAGGGATTATCAATGTTTTGGACAAAACTTTCAAAATTATTATTTTGTTCGAATTTTAGGCATAAACAGAATAAAATGTGATCAAAGAAATTTAAAAATATTTTTTGGAACAATTGTAGAATTTTAAATTAAATTTTTTGAAAAATTTATTGGAAATGTTTTTCAAAATTTTATAAAAAATCATCGAAAATTGAATGAGATATAACAAAAAATCCGAAAAAAAATTGAGTGGAAATCAGCAGTAAATGCTATCAAATTAAAACCTTAGAACTGTTATGACTTCAAAAATGCAATTAATTGGTTTACTTTTTTTGTTTTATCTAATTAAGTTTTTGATGAAATTTTATGAAATTTTAGAAAACAATAGAATAAACATTTCCCAACAATTTTTCAAAAAGTTAAATTTTTTTCAAAAAGAAATTGGTTTCGTAGATTTTTTTACAATGTTCTAAAAGTATTTTTATTTTTTTTTTGCTTGTGTGTCTTATTGTTTAAGTCTTTTTTTTGTATCCAATAAACGTCAAATATTTTGTGGGACCTCGCGTAACACCAGAAAAGGTTTATGGATAATCGAATTTTCAAAAATTTCTCTCTAACAAAATTGGGTTTGTGAAAATTTTGAAAATGCACGAATTTTTTTTTAGAAAATGAAATTATTCATATTTCCGGTAATTTTGAAACCATGAAAAAGGCACACCATATATTGGGAATTCTCTTTTTGTGATTTGTTGTAAGAATCATAAATGTTAAAATGGGTTTAAGATATGTTCTGCTAATTATTTCAAAGATCTGACACGAGTCGTTTCTCGCCTATTATGTTTCCTCTCGCCCTGTTAATAAATCAACATAAAATACGTTTTTTTTCACAATTTCTTAAGATTTTTCAAATGATAATTAAAAGCTAGTGTTCATTAAAGAATATAGAAAATATTTAGGCTATAAGTCATGTCATAAACATTGTAAATAAACTCACAGCCATCATAATGTCAAGGTTAAAAATTAACCTTCTTGTTTCTGAAACTTCGTTCAAAACAATTTAATTTCTAAAGATGCTATTATTCTGAATGGTTTCCTTGTACAAGTTTACCTGAGTGATAAGATCCCTAAGGATCTGCTGTGAGCTAAACGCAGGCCCTGAATAGGACGGATCTTGTTTACCTGAGTGGTAATGAGTTAAACTCAGGACCGGAGTAGGACGGATCCTGTTTACCTGAGTGATAAGATCCCTAAGGATCTGCTTTGAGTTGAACTCAGGCCCGGAGTAGGACGGATCCTGTTTACCTGAGTGATAAGATCCCTAAGGATCTGCTTTGAGTTAAACTCAGGCCCGGAGTAGGACGGATCCTGCTTACCTGAGTGATAAGATCCCTAAGGATCTGCTTTGAGTTAAACTCAGGCCCGGAGTAGGACGGATCCTGCTTACCTGAGTGATAAGATCCCTAAGGATCTGCTTTGAGTTGAACTCAGGCCCGGAGTAGGACGGATCCTGTGCTTACCTGAGTGATAAGATCCCTAAGGATCTGCTTTGAGTTAAACTCAGGCCCGGAGTAGGACGGATCCTGCTTACCTGAGTGATAAGATCCCTGAGGATCTGGTCTGAGTTAAACTCAGGCCCGGTGTAGGACGGATCTTGTTTAGTAAGCTCAGCAAACGCGTACAAAGTTCTTGTCACTCTGTAAATAGTCAATCTAATTATCTTTATGGAAGATTGTCGTTAATTTTGAAATTTCAAGAAAAATCTAAGAAAGGTCTCACAGCTTATATGCTTTCCAACTAGGGTTTAATCTAAAATCTGATGTTTTCCAAAGTAAATATCACAAATGGTCAAAATATATTTGTAAAGAGAAAAAAGGTTTCAATCCCTCCAAATAGCAAGAATAAAATGAAGGAATTATCTTCTCATATTGTTCTTCGAACATATGTGGATCTCCGGAATGCAAATTGAGATTTTTTGGAAATAATAAAGGGACTGTAAGCGTAATTTCATGGGACCCTTGAAACTTTTATCTCTTTAATGTCTTTTTTCTAGATTTAAAATTGTTTATTTCTTAGAATTCCCACATGTTCTCCTGCTGCAAGTAATTTATTTACAGAAATCACATTGAAAAAAATTCAAAATCATAAACATGACTAATTCAGACAGACAAAGCTGTTAAAGGTACCGTTGTGAATCTTTGCATGAAGGGTCACTTGAAATTACGCTTACAATCCCTTAAAGTGTAATTCTAAATCTCATAATATCTGCGTAATGTCCTACTTGTGAACATGTGCCAGGGTTGCCAGATCATCTGGTTTGAACAGGTATTCGTCTGGTACTCCGTAATCAGCTGCAGCTGAGAGAAATGCACTGATATTCAGCCGCCGGGATATCAGGTTCTTACTCTAGGATACAGTCATACAGTACAAACCATAAAGGTGTGGAATAAGAAGACGGCTGCCAGATTCAAGTTATCTTTTAAGCAGACCAATTTAAATTAATAATAGGATTTTCAAGTTACTGGTCAATTTTTTTGCTCTTTAATATCAAATATACCTAAAATGGCTCAAATGTAGTTTTACTGTTCAAAATATTTTGGTAATTATGGACCTCGCTATAAAATCAGCACTAATTAGATAATCAATTAGAAAAATTTAATTGGCTAATACTCAAAAGTAAAAATTAATTGTTAACATGACTGAAAATGTTCATCCAACATTTTGAAAATACAAGAGTTGAAAATTCCCCCCCCCCCAAAAAAGAAAAGACGACTAACTATTCCAGTGTTTAACTGTTACCACTGTATACCTGTAAGGTTGACGTATCTATGTTAAGGGACGGAACAATCTTGTTTGCAAGAGAGCAGAGAACTATTCCAGACTGAAGGTAGAACTCCAGTTCTCCTGTATCCTGAAGTTTCTTATTCCTAGCTTTCAGATTATCATCTAGCTCACCCAGCACCTATTCATAATACAAATACTAAACTTGGCACTCTCATTTGTTTGTAAGCTTTGCTTGTCTGCCTGTTTGTTTGTATCCAATAAACGTCAAAACGGCGGAAATTATTTGTCCCAAATTTTGTGGCAACTCACAGGATCCCCATGGGAAGGTTTATGGATTTGTAAAAAAAATTGCAAAAAACGATTGTTCAAATTCCACGAAAAAAGAGAAAAGAGCAATAATTAAAAGAATTAAAGTTGTAGAAGGAATAGGCATAGATTGCTGATCTTTAAATATCTAGGTTTAAAGTAGAGATAAAACCTGTAGGGCGTCCCGGAGCAAGATGTTTACTTTTTAGATCAAAGTTTACTCGCTTCTACAGGGTGTCCCAATAAACATAGGAATTGAGAGATGACTCGAATATCGTCTTTGATTTCCGTTAGTTGATAAATAACATATAGCGAATCAAAAAAAGATCAAACGTCTAATGATCTTTCCAAAATGTGGTCTACCTTCTTTGTATCTTTAAAATTGACGGAGATATCAAACATTTGAACAGTTTTGTTAAATCTGGACAAATTTCCTGATATCTCCGTCAATTTTGAAGGGAATAAAATGATAGACTACATTTTGTAAATCCCGAGACTAGTAGTTTTCGGTGTTAAATATTTAATTTTGATACAAAATCATATTTACGTAAGAAATCGCTCTGAACAAAGACGATATAGAAGTCGTCATTTACTTCCCGTGTTTATTGGGACACTCTATACGTAAGGTCTGAAATTGACGCAAATTCCATCATTTGCAAATCAATCAGAAATTTGACAGGCACAGCAGGCATCAAAAAGTTCAAATATTTATTCCAGGCTGGTTCAACGGGATTTTAGGCGGAAATATATGTTACCCTTCGTGCATAGGTGGAAATGCCCTATTCACAACGGTACCATTGCAATCTTTATCTGGTCAATGATTTGGAAAATGTCGTTTGTTTAACTATGCCTGTCCTGCAGTTGAAATGAGCAAGCCAATTTTGTAGAGAAAGCACATTTGGAAATAACCAGTTTTCCAAATTGATATATAAATTCATACTCAGACATAGCTTTTAGGGTACCGTTGTGAATCGGACATTTTCCCATAAAGGGTCACTTTAATTTATGCTTGCAAGCTTAGCACACGATATGATATTCACAAAACAAATTTTTGTAAATTGATTTCGTATTATTCATAGATTGCTCTGGAACAAGCTTGGTGATTTTGTATGAAATATTCAAATACGTTTCTAGAAAGTTCTAAAATGTACGAAGAAAAAAAGAAATATTTGGAATTTTCCTGTTTAAGATATAAGCAATAACAGTGCCATTCTAGGATTGGGGTATGCTGTTGATAAACATGCTTTGAAAGTCATTAACAAGCTAAAGGAATTGTGTTTTCGCATCATACTCAAATACTATAATCAATCCCAATATCTTCTAAACCTGATTGTTTCAACCTTTGATATTTTAAACTTAGACTATTTTATCTGAGAGAATTCGTAGTTTGAAAAATCAAAGGTTCACGACATCAGGTTGCACAGATAAAGGTATTACATCAGAGTTTGTGGCAGAAACTCAATTCCTTTGAATTTTGTTTTACCTCTAAGATCCAAGTTTTAACAACACAATCTTTATCCTAAAAAATATTACCATGTTAAAGTCTAGATTTATGGATGTTATATGGTCAAAACTTTTTTGTTGAGAACAGTTAATTTTTGAACGCTTGATCTCGATATCCAATGTGATATCAACGTTTGATCTCTCAATTAAAAGTATCCCAGCAAAGAATACCTAAACCAAACCGCAGATCTGCAAAACATTTAATCTCGAGATTCATAAAACAAAAGATTTTGACTATACGGTCAAAGGGATGGGCCCGGATATTTTGAGATTGAGACATAATTTTTACATGATACTTTGTCAAGCCATCATGAGAAAATTAAAGGAAGGAAACTATAAAGGGTTATAATTCCTAAGCCCCACTGAGAAAAAACAACAACTTGAGAATGAAACTAGGTCTAATATGATTGATAGGGAATACGTCGGCTTGATATAAACAGAATTTTCAAGCAAAATATCCATTTGAATATATACAAGGATACAAAAAAAGGCAGCCAATTGAAAAATCCCCTTTCCCCCCCGCCCCTTGCCCTGAATACCTTGTCCCTAAACGATCTATCCAACATTTCTTCTTCAGGAAACTCGGTTCGCATAAAATCCTAAATTTATAATTTTCTGTGAAAGAATAGATAATTTTTCACAATTAGATAATTAGTATTGCCTATACTATCTGATTTTTAAGGAACAACAAAATGTATAGTTGATCTTTGTATACAGTGAGAACCATAAAAATTTTGGAATAGAAAGACGACTTTTAGACTCAAGTCATTACTGTAAATAGTCCAATTAACATGAGACACAGCAATTGTGCAATGTAAACAGACCGTTTTAGCTTTAAAAAAGGTTTAATAAGCTATTGCAAAACATCTTGCTTTGTAAAAAAATAAAATACATTAAATTATTTCTTTTATGGCGTCTTCCTATTCCACAGTTTTCTGGTTCTCACTGTAGCTAATTTTCTACTACTTCTTAAGTGCACTCTCTGCTACGTAGTTCAACTGTAAGTCTGTACATGTATACTTCAACTAATTCTTAAGTGCTCTCTCTGCAACGTAGTTCAACTGTACATGTCAAGTTTAACTAATTCCTGCTTTTCATTTATAATGTAGACAGGTTTAATTGCTTGTAGAGCAATAATATAGAGATTGCAGTTTACCTGGAAAATGGAGACGTTTCCCTTTTTCTCCTCTTCCGTTAAATCTTCCTGGAAAAAGATTAGTAAAAAATATAAGAGGGGGAGGGGTCAAACTTTGAACAGCCATCGTCATATATATAAACACAATGAAGGCGACATTATATTTCAGTTTTGATTTTACCAAGCTTTTAAACAGCATGGATACACATAACATAGGGCAAAAATTAGCAGTCAATTCAAAGCTTATAAAAATGTAATTTGTAAGAAGCCTGTTAGAAATATAAACCTGAATCGAAAAGTGTTTTCATTTTTTATATAAACTAGAAATTTAAGCCGCTTCGCGCCCTTCTTTTTAGGCTTTTAGGGCGCTTCGCGGCCATCTTCTATTTAAATTGTGAACATGTTCTTTTTGTTTACATTTTAAAACAAAGAAGAAAAATATTTTGCGGATTTTTATAAAAAATCCGCGGATTTTCAAGAATTTAAATTTTTTNAATTTATATATAGAAGCCGTCATAAGGATTTGACATCCATTGGTTTAATATGTCAGTTTTGGAAATTTATATATAGAAGCCGTCATAAGGATTTGACATCCATTGCTTTAATATGTCAGTTTTGGAAATTTATATATAGAAGCCGTCATAAGGATTTGACATCCATTGCTTTAATATGTCAGTTTTGGAAATTTATATATAGAAGCCGTCATAAGGATTTGACATCCATTGGTTTAATATGTCAGTTTTGGAAATTTATACTTTTAGATTAGAATCAATTTTGTACTTAAAATGTATTCCTAATAACCTTAATTTCTAACATCTGTTTAAACATGTTGATCATGTGTTTAAAAAACAGGTGTTGAAGGGTGCAGGACTGTATTCTTACATAATCAAAGTTTTCGTGAAATTTTTCCCAAGTGCATGCCGCGGCAATTATAAATACGGATTCAATTTTTTCCCCAATGGGAAAATGGTCATAGCTGGAATATTTTTTGCTTATCGAAAAAGCTTTCATAAAGGAATTGAGTCTTTGCTATAAAATCTGATTTTCTTATCCCTTTATTTTTGTAACCCAATGTAGATTGTAGATATTTTAACCTATGAATTTTATGAATACTGTTAGTTTCCAATGGTTTGAAAATGCTCTTTCCTCGTTAACGATCATTACATGTAAAAGACCAAAAACGCTAAATGTTAATTTTAACAATTCATTTTTCAAAATTTTTATCCAACATCTAGATTTTTTTTTCATATTAATCATTATTACCCTTACATCTTTAAATCAAAGAACCAGCATTGACGAACCTGGTAAAATGCAATGACAATCGTTAATTAAAAAAATAAAATTAAAACTTTTGGAACAGAGCAATTTTCAAAATAACAAGCGTGGAACGAAAGAATGAAAAAAATCAACAACTTGCCAATGTAGGATTGAAGGATTGTAGGGTTGCAGGGTTGTAGGATTGAGAATTGTAGGATTGTAGGATTGTTGGATTGTTGGATTGTAGGATTGTAGGATTTTAGGATTGTATGAATGTAGGATTGTTAGGATTGTAGGTTTGTAGGATTGTAGGATTGTAGGATTGAGAATTGTAGGATTGTAGGATTGTTGGATTGTAGGATTGTAGGATTGTAGGATTGTAGGATTGTATATTTTAGATTTCTGATCCTTTTTGATTTTAAAATGCTGGTGTAACTCCAATTTTGCAAATCTTGAAAAGTTTACAATCTTGAAAAGAATTCATTCAGCTTTCCACAGACTTTAAACCGTGTTTATCACGCGAATAAACTGTTTGATGTTTCTTCAGAAATAAATAGAATCTTTTTTTAGAATTTCAAAACACAACTCTAAAATTAGAAGTTTTTTCCTCCTAGATGTGCTCTGGAATGTTATCAGACTACGACGTACGCAATGTTCGATGTGCGTCAAGAAACTTTGAAATTGAAGCATGAATGAGTAAATGTGTAAGTTATGAAATACACATTGTGATCAAGGTGCTAAACATTTTAAAAACTTTAAATGTTATAAGTTCAATTCGATAAATTTATTAATTGTTTTCGACACCATTTTAGAAAGAAATAAGAAACAAATAATTGAGAACTAAAATAAAGAAAGAAGTCGACAATAATTCCCAGATTTGTACCTTCTTCAGGTAAGTTCTCTCCTCTGGTGAGCTCAAGGGCTGGACTATAGTTGGGATCTTGTGAAGCGCTTGACAGGTAGAACCTCGTCTTCCATTCCTTCGCTCCTTAAACCAAACCAAATCATAACATATTTCATTGAATTATTTGCGGATTTTGTCTCTTATGACCTGTGGCTTTACCTTGTAAGGAACATTAAGATTGTTCGCTGATGTTGTTTCATCTAATGACTTTGTTTGTCTATGCATTGGAACTATTTTCTCTTCCTCCCCCTGCAGCGGAGCTGGGAGATCCTCGATAGGTCCATCCTGTTTTTCAGCTGATGTATCTACGCCATTGTTCAAAGCTTCCGGAGCCTGATTAAAAAGTTTGAGTTTTTAAGTTAGAACAAATTAAAAAAATGTATGACTATTAAAAAGGAACAATTTTATAAAAATGTATTTGTATTTTTATTTATTCATTTTGATTTCGGAGAAGTTCTTTTATTAGAACACCGTATTTTAGATAGAGGAGTAAAATCCAATTTGTTCCTTAATATGGAAGATTTTACAGGAAATAAGTCTTCAATTTTCCACAAACTCTGATATTCTATAAATTGATTTCTTTGTGAAATCCAATATTTAATATTTCAAACTTGAATTCTGCTAGATCAAATAGTCTAAGATTAAAATATCACAGTTGTAAAATATGAGAATACAAAGATATAGGGATTAGGAAATTTGAGTTTGTGGCGAAGACTCAATTCCTTTCCTTGATGGGAAATAATTCGACAGAATTAATATAAATCCTGACACTCACAATAAACGAAATTGCGGATTCTGATAAAAATCGGTCCTGGATTTTTCCAAATACTCCTTTAAAAGCCAGAAACATTAGCTACAGAGGGTTGCAGCTTTAAAAAATCTTTATATTCAAAGGTTCAAAAAGTTTAATGGGGAAGAAGATGTGGATCACTAGATCGCTGTGTCATTGTGCAAGTTTTAAGTTAAAAATTGTAAATACAAAAATTACAGAAATGGGAAGAAACCATAACAGATTCAATATAGACCAATCATGTCTGGTTAATTTTTTCGTTCCGAGGTAAAATTTTTTTTAATGTGAATCTATAAAAAATACGCAATCTAATCAAAGGAATTTTGTGATTCTCGTTATAAAATTAATATATGTCAATCAGAATAAGCATTTTTAAATCTTTAAATAGCTTGATTCCAAGACAACATCAATAAAATTTTCTGTTGCAGATATTTTAGCTAGCAGTATATATCTACCAAATGATAGATATTTGTCTTGCAGAACAAATTTTATGTTTAACCCTGATTTTGCAAGGGCTTTTAATTTTAAAGCAAAAGGTGGAAAAACTATTTTATTAAGTTGGTTATCCAAGATATTTGTAGAATTTATGAACTAAAGCTTGCATAGTAATTTCTTGTGAAGGATGATCAAAATACGTATAATACCTATAATCTATATATATAAAGTTGTAATCTCTGTTGGTCTGTTTGTTTGTATGTCCGAAATTTCTTATTCTTGCACATCCCTAAAAATTTCTTGCTCACCCCTAAATATTTCTTGCTCATCCCTGAAAATTTCTTGCTCACCCCTTAAAATTTCTTGCTCATCCCTAAAAATTTCTTGCTCACCCCTAAAAATTTCTTACTCATCCCTAAAAATTTCTTGCTCACCCCTAAAAATTTCTTGCTCATCCCAAAAAATTTCTTGCTCACCCCTAAAAATTTCTTACTCATCCCTAAAAATTTCTTTCTCATCCCTAAAAATTTCTTGTTCATCCCTAAAAATTTCTTGCTCATCTCAAGCAGGGGAAACACTATAGAGAGAAAATACAGTGCACCTCTTGAGTTTGACCTCTCTACTACTACGCCGATTTGAGCGTGAAATTCAAAGATTTAACTGTTAAGTCTTTTATTTTAACCAAATAGAATTTATTTAAAAATTTTAATTTTGGAATTTTGGAATTTTCTTTCTTTTTTCATTGCTCAATGGCTCATCCTTAAAGTTTCAGTTTCCATTGGTAAGAAGCGGCCGCTCCATGGCTCACCCCTGTATCCGCCCCTGCACTTTGAGAACCCTTGGCAACGCTGCAGGGTTCTCATGCTATAGTATACTTGTAATAAAACCATGCAGTCCTTCAATTGTCATACATGGAAATTTACATCGTTTAAAACACGCAAGGAAAACTTTTTACAAATTGTTTTGAAAAATGTATATTGACCTTTATATCTGTCTCCTCTTCCAGAACAGTCCCTTCCTTAGAATTCATTTCCTCTGCAAGTAAATTTTACGAATAGTTTAAGGTATTTGAAGGTCTTAAAGAGGAAAGGGGGACGGAAAGGGCAAACATGAAGGCTAAATATATGATGTAATAAATGGAATTTTATCTCCCCCCCCCTTCCTCCTCATTTCACTCCCAAGGGACCCTGGGATATGTAATTTAAATTTTATTTTGTCAGTTTGAAAGTTGAAATATTTTTATTTTGATTGAATTCCAGGCTCCTTCTATTTTGATAAGAATTCCAGGCTCCTCGAATCTAAATTTAAGATTCGTGAATATTTTGAAAATGTTGAATATGGAAATCAGAATTATTTAGTCAAGTTCTTTTTTCTTGCTATTTTTGTTATAATTTTTAGAACTTGATATATTCATTTTTGATAAAAAATGTTTGCATTTAAGATTATTTAAGATTATTTAAGATTATTTAAGATTATTTAAGATTATTTAAGATTATGGACCAAAATAACCTTAAACTGAAAAAATAAATAGTTCCAAATCTATCTTCAGTAGGCAAAACGCATGAGAGTATTGTTTTGGGATTCTGAAAGTAAAAAAAAACACCATAAAAAAACTCGCCAAAATATTGTACGAGTTTTGGCGTTTTAATCATTATTCTGAACAGTTTTTCCATTACCAGTTTCAGTGTACTTATTCCATTATTATAACAAGTTTTAGTGTACTTTTTCCATTATTATAACCAGTTTTAGTGTACTTATTCCATTATTATAACAAGTTTTAGTGTACTTTTTCCATTATTATAACCAGTTTTAGTGTACTTATTCCATTATTATAACCAGTTTTAGTGTACTTTTTCCATTATTATAACCAGTTTTAGTGTACTTTTTCCATTATTATAACCAGTTTTAGTGTACTTTTTCCATTATTATAACCAGTTTAAGTGTACTTTTTCCATTATTTTTTGCAACATTTATTAATTTTTTAACCAGTTTTTAAGAATTATACTATAATTTTCAAATTCCAGTATTAGATACTTTTATCCATCAACAAACAGTTTAAAGGGTTGTCTGACAGCAATTATAACTTAAATTTATAGTTTAAGGGCATTTTATCCATTGCATTAATATTACCAGTTTTATTATTTACACTATTTAGGTATTTTATCCATTATTATATAAAATCAGTTTATGGCCTATGGGTACTTTTATAGATTAGCGAGATTTTTTATGGCGTTTTTTAATCTTGCGTCTTGCCTACTGGAGTGAGTTTTGGAATTCTTTTTTTCAGTTTTAGGTAATTTTGGTCCATAATCTTAAATAATCTTAAATGCAAACATTTTTGTCAAAAATTAATAAAAATGCCTCGTGGTGTTCAAGGGAAATAACGGAAAAAAATTTGTTTGGAAAAACTGAGATTTTTTAAGATGATGATAGATAGGATGCAGATTAGAAAAGGAAAACGTATCATGTAGATCTATTATTCTCATGTTTTTGTAAACAAACAATTTAGAATTTGTTAGATCTCTAATCTGTTGTTCCATCTTGCAATCTCTAGTACAATACAGATAGAACTGGGCGTTCTTATCTGTTTAATGATCGTTTATAAAGCATACATTTAAAAAAATACGTAGATAGGAAATTTCAAAGAAAACGCACTTTTAAGAAATAATTTTCGTATATCATTAAAATAACAGTGTACAATATATAATATAATTCAGATAATTTCGAAAAAGAAAATAATTTATTGTATATGATACAATAAATTTGAAATGTCCATCTATGAAATGTCCATCTATGAAATGTCCATCAATGAAATGTCCATCTATAATATGTCCATTTATGAAATGTCCATCTATGAAATGCTCATCTATGAAATGTCCATCTCTGAAATGTCCATCTTTAAAATGTCCATCTATAAAATGGCTTTTTATGAAATGTCAATCACTGAAATGTCAATCTCTAAAATGTCCATCTATGAAATGTCCATCTATGAAATGTGAAATGTCAATCTCTAAAATGTCCATCTATGAAATGTCCATCTATGAAATGTGCATCTATTCTATGAAATGTCCATCTAAGAAATGTCCATCTCTCTTATGAAATGTCCATCTCTGAAATGTCCATCTATGAAATGTCCATCTATGAAATGTCCATCTATGAAATGTCCATCTATGAAATGTCTATCTAAGAAATGTCCATCTAAGAAATGTCCATCCCTGAAATGTCCATCTATGAAATGTCAATCTCTGAAATGTCCATCTAAGAAATGTCCATCTATGAAATGTCCATCTATGAAATGTCCACCAAAATAAACGATTAAATGAAATATACGTGAAGTGACACTCTTTTTGAAAAAATTTCATAAGTCAATAGGTTTGAAGAAATATTATAACTATAAAGATCAAAATATGGCTGATTAATCAAAAAATTAATAGATGTGGACTGATGGCATAAATACTGAGAACCACCAGAAAATGTTGTTTCTTTTCCCTAAACTGTAACTGTAACTGTTTCCAAAAGCAGTAAGCGTAATTTCAAGTCACTCTCCATGCAATTAAGGTGGTAATGGCCGATAATGTCTGATCTGGATGTGAATTAGATACTCATAATTATTATAATGAAAACTGATGATTTTCAATTGTGGTTTCTCTAAAATAGTGACTTGCGCATTTCTACTGCAGAAAAACAAATTAGAATTATCAGAATTAAACACTTTTAAATCTAGAAATCGAAATTAGGCACTCAGTTCCTTAAAGAAATATCTCTCAGGATTTAGTATTTAGAGATTTTTCCAACTAATATTAAATGTCCAGAGTCCGAATTTAATGAATTTGAGCTGCTTCTCAAAAAACGGTTTCAATTGAGCGCCGCCTTAGATCTTGAAACATTGAATACAATTTTAAGTGGAACCAACAATATTTGAGCTGCGTCTTAAATTTAATCCGCGGCTTAAATTCATTAAATTCAGCCTCAGGGCACTTTTTAAAAATAGTTTTAAAATTACTTTGAAGGAATCTTTCATGGCATTCTAAAAATGAAAGGATTCATAAAAACGTTGATAACCCTTTATACTTTTGCTACAAAAAAATAATTGATGTTTGAATGTAGAGTGAATTAATCTATTTTGCGTCAAAGTCTGATTTATTAGATTTGCCATTCTATTTGATGTATTTACCGCTCAAAGGAATTGAGTTTTTGTCACGAACTCTGATTTTCTTATCCCTATATCTTTGCATTTCAATGCCGGAGACCTTAGATATTTTAAACTATGAATTATTTTAGATCAAATAATGATAGTTTGAAATATCACAGGTTAACACCATCAGGTTGAAATGATATAGCGATTTGAAAATCAGAATTTGTGGCTAAAACTCAGCTCCTTTTCTTAACATAAAGATTGGATATTCTGTTGTTAAAAAGTTAAATTCATAGGGCTTAACTCACAATTAAAAGTTTTAAAATAAAATTATGAAAACATAGAATTGTTATTGGTTTCTTAAAGTCAAAATGTTCTATTAAAGAGAAAAACTAATATTTTTCTAAAATGTGTGCAGTTTAAAACCTAGTAGCAGTCTGTTGAAAAATTGGAAGAAATTATGAGAATTTGAGTTGAAACATACCGCGCATCGTTATTTACATAGTTTAATTAACACTATAGTCGAGATTTAATGATGTTGAAACATCTCATTGAAAATATTTGTTTCTCTTACAAACAAGGACTAAAGTTATGTTCCTCCACTTTTACCATCCTCAGTTGAAACTGAAGAATGCCGAAAATTTAAGTTACAGCTTAAAAGTTTTGAATAATAAGGAATTCAGCTTGAAATTAAACTTGTATAATTTTGCATGCTGATCGATTGATAAGTCATGAGCGGCATTTAAGCTGAACCTTAACATTTAGGCCGTAATTTTTCATTCTGAAGTTTGGGATTCAGTAGTGGAGTTTTAGTTAAGTTTCAAACTCTGCAATAAAAACTGAAGAATACGCGAAATTCAAGTTACAGCTTAAAAGTCGTGCCATAAATGAGTTTTAACGCCGACTTTGAAACACTTTTGTAGTTTACTCATCAAATAGGTGAAATCTAGTGTCAAACATCGACTGAAACTAGTTTTGTAAACCCCAGTTTGTAATTTGGTTCAAACGTCGGTATTAACACTTAGTTATGGCCCGACTATTGCACTCCACTTTGACAAGTCCAGTTCTGTTTGGTGGGAGGTAGATAATTCAGAGTTGATTAATCAGAAATGGACTATCCGTATTTTCTACAAGTTTATAGATTAAGTAGTAATCTCTGTTTGGTTGTATGTAAGTATACGATCATAACTTAGGAACCCCTTGACTGATTTCCCTTAAATTTGTTAAAGATTCAAAGTTGAGTGGGGTGACTCCTATAGGGAAAAAAGCTAAAATTGAAATTTACGACCAAGCGCGGGTATACGGCGGGAGTAGCCATGAGTAACCTTGGCAACACTGGGTTCCCAATCTAGTTCTGTTTAAATAAAATAGTAATTCCTGTTTTTTTGTAGGGGAATGTTCTTAGCTTGGTTTAAAATGTCTAATTTGAGTGGGTTGAATAATTTAGAGAAATGTAATTTGTAATAGCATGATTAAATAGTTAGTCAAAAATTATTTAAGTCCTGTGAGTGTGACCACTTATTTCAACCCCAGAAGGTGTAAGACGGGGGGGGGGGATGCCCGGATTTTTATGAATTATTTTAATCTAAACCAATATATATAAAATTGTAAAAGCAGAAGTTGTAAACATCCTTATTGACATTCATCAACCACGAAAGCAAGAATGATAAATTTTATTTTTATAATAAGTCATTTTGGGTATTTTTGGGTCATGTTACAATTTTATACAGACCAGTTAAAAAATTATATTGCCATGTCTCCTGAAAACCTAAATGGCAAATTTTCCAAATGAAAACTTTTGGATTATCCCGATTTTCTCGTCCTGTGTTTAAACAGTATATCTGTTAAGTTGTAAAACATTTGGCACAATTTTCAAATTATAAACATTTTAAAAAAAGTTACATTTTCAGCAACTACAAA